ACAACATGGAACAAACACAAAAAGCGAGACAATCTGCTTTGGTAAAAAAAAATGTAGATAGGGTCACTTCCATCAGATATTGATAAATTAATGAACTATACAACATATACTGTATGATGAACTGCTCAGTCACAGCCCTCAAAGATCTCATGTTTCTCATATTCCAGTTTGAATACAGGTGATAAATCACCAATATCTAATGAATTTGACTACGGACCCAAATCAGATGACCTCTCACCGATGCAATGGTTTTCATCTAATTTTTCCTTTTACTATACACTGCCTCTAGCCCTCTGTGTATTATTGGCAAAACATAAATTATAAGCCACTTCAAGCATCTTTTCTGTTCTCTCTGTGTCTCACAATAGTAGTGTGTCAGTACTTAAAATAATCCCATAACAGAAATGTTATCATAACCAGAATTTAACCTTCTTAGAACAAGGTGCTAAGCCCATCTCTGATGACACTACTTGGCAAGAGCATTAACAGGTGACAATAATAGTGGCTCCTCTCAGAGCCTATCCTTCCGCAGTTTTATTGTGTATTATTATGTTTTATATTTAGTGCAAACACTTTAGGTGTCAAAAGTGTTGTCATGCACCAGTGTGCCACCCAAACTTTGTATATATATATATATATATATATATATATATATTAAGAATCAGAGCATCTTATCAGTCTAATGTGCTCTTTTAGTTTAAGAGCTTCGCTGTTTTTCCTGCACCTGCTGAAGACATTTTTCCACACTCTCTAAAGTTGTGATCACATTAGTGATATTTTAGTGAAATATTGCATACAAAACAAGGTCCATTGTCTGTTGTCAATCGTCGCTTTCAAAGCAAGCAGCTTTCTGTTGTGAGCAACTTGAATATGAGTAAGATCTTGATGGGGAATTTTTTCTCCCTCATGCGAAACTCCTGTTTGCACTGATGCCTAGCGGAGTGACTGGAATTTGCTCATGAAAATTCGCCAAGCAATGGTTAAAGAGACCGCAAATTTACGCCTTCTTTGGTCGCTGATGTTCTTTCTGCTTTTTATACACTTGATGTTGCTGAGAAGTTTGGAACTGCCACATCTATCACCACCTGCATTTTATGCTTTTTGTACATGATCACAATTTTGGGCTCAATGCTTGTTGTCCCAGTCTAAATACATATTTGCTTTCATTTCATGCATTTCACCCTAAACTTATATCTAACCTGAAGTCCATCTCCAGTTTTGTGGATTTTAGTCTGTGTCTGTTGGTTTTAAAGCTGCCAATATGCATGTGTTCACAAAATACACTTCCCAGGTAGCCAGCACAATCAGGCCAATTGCGGCTGAGTCTCGGCTGTGTTCTGGCAGCGGCTCACCAAAAGTGAGCCAGCTCTGGCCCAGTAATGGTTGCCAGATTTGGCTAGGCTTTGGATGTGCAGATTTGGCCCGATTTGCACTGAGACACGGCACATTTAGCCACATTCGGATGATTTAATTCATATAATGAAACAAGCTTAAAGTGGTTAAGGGAACTTTAACATTATTTTTGCTATATGAGTTTCAAGACATGCGCACTAGCTTTGACATCTAATGACAAAACCTGACGGGTTTTTTGTGCTGCTAATTGCCAGAAGAACTTGCTACCCTGGTGAGTAAACATTTGATTATCTAACATATAATATCATTTTAATAAACCGTTCTACACATATAATATCAAAATAATGTTTATTTATAATGAAGCTATAATTGTGAGTTCGTTGATATAGTGCTAGAGTTTAGTGATCCAGCTAATCAAGGTCTTCAGGATTACTAGAAACTTCTAAACTGTGCACAGCTGCGGCCCTCCAGGAATTGAGTTTGACACCACTGTATTGCTACTGGTCTTTTTTTTTTTTCAATCAGTGCAAAGGAATGCAAGTACTGGCAGTGCATCAGATGGAGAGATTGAAAAGTTCATCAAAAGATGGCTGCTGCTCACTTTGGACAGAGATGGGGGAAGAAAAGAGTGGGCCCGAATGCAAACAAATTCTTCCAATGGTATGTTCCAAATGTTAACATTTACCAGAGTTACCATTCATGTTATCAGTCTGAGATTGTCTGAATAATCATACGTGTCATTGTCTGTTCCCCTTTTTATCTCTCTTTCTGTCAATCTGTCCCTCTTTTAGGATACGCTTACATGAGGAAGCTCCTGGATTTGTTTTTCCCCCCAAATAAATTCTAATATCACTCATATTTTGTCATTCTAATATGTCATTTTTATACGGGGGGGTGTTATGGGGTAGTAGGTGGGGATGCCATGAAAAGAAATAATGTAAGGCAAACTCTTAATCATTGTAAAGGTGACATTTAGTTGACATGCATAAGTACATGCAGGCTTAACAAGGACACTGTAAAATATACATTTTATTTTAGTTGGAAGTAGATGCCATCTTAAGGATTTTAAGGTAACAATGTCATTTTGTGGAAAAACAAATTATTCAAAGCTCGTTTTATATCAAAACTGGAAGGAGTCTTTAATACTCATATTTTAAAAGTTGTAATTAATCATTGTAAAGGTGACATTTAGTTGACATGCATAAGTACATGCAGGCTTAACAAGGACACTGTAAAATCTATATTTTATTTTAGTTGAAAGATGCCATCTTAAGGATTTGAAGGTAACAATGTCATTTTGTGGAAAAACAAATTATTCAAAGCTCGTTTTATATCAAAACTGGAAGGAGTCTTTAATACACATATTTTAAAAGTTGTAATTCTGTATGAGTAAGTGTGTGTGTGTGTGTGTGTATATATATATACATTTTTTTTTTTTTTTTAGCGAACAAGACTAGTATCGGCTCGGTGTCGTCATGATTGTAACCCAGTGTCGGCTCAGTTTCAGTACCCAGTGTCGGACCAGTGCCGGCTAAGTGTACCATTTTGGTTGGTGTGATTGTGGCCCAGTGCCGGTAGTGTTGACTCAGTTTCAGTACCCAGACTCGGACCAGTACTGGCTAAGTTTTTCATTTCTCGTTGGTGTGATTGTGGCCCAATGCCGGTGGTTTTGACTCAGTTTCAGTACCCAGACTCGGGCACTGAAATTGCTTCAATTCTTCAAATACTGGCTAATTGCTTCAATTCTTGTCGCCGTGATTGTGGCCCAATGCCGGCAGTTTTGGCGGCCGGACTCGGGCCAGTGTATTTGAGCCGATTCTGGGGTGTCATTCATCCCATGTCCATGCCGAGTCTGGCAACCGCAGCCGGGCCGAGTTATTTTTTCCGGCCTGCCGGATCTGGGCCATTATTAGGCCAAACTGTTTTGGCTACCTGGGTTTTAGCAAATATACACATTTAGAAAGTATAAAATGTGTAAATTTGTAATTCTTATTAGAATTATCAGGCTTGATCTAATTAAAAATCTAATTTTAAATAATAAACAGCGCAGTTCCAAGAGGGTCCTCGCACCATCGGTGCTCGGCCTCTAAAAAGAACATGCCCTTTTAATATATCCCATCTCATCTTGTTTCAATAGGAAATGAACACACAAAAAACTGGGCTCATATGTTTAACAGCACTTTCAGTTGTTCTGTCAACTATTTACAGCCATGCAGTTTCCTCTTCACACAGTTCGAGTGTAGTAATTGATATCTGGGAGGTCAAAAGGGAGGGATTTATTGCCAGTGGATGGAGGGGGCAGAGGTACAGTTGAACCTGTCCACTCACACAGGCCACACTTATTAGGATATTCTATCTCTTGAGCCTCCAGTGACAGCTGAGTTTGAGTGGAGGATAAGTTTGCATTCCAGATCTGATTTAGAGAATTCATGGAGGCTTCAACACAGCTGACTGGACATAAATCCAAATTTATCGTACAATTACAAAACTTATACAATGATTTGTCATATTTGACAATGAGCAAGATGAGCTCATCCACCCATCCATAAGACCTATCAAACTTCAAAGCTTTTTTTCAGTCTTTTCAAACAAAGTCTTGTAATTAAAATTTTCCTTCCACTTCCTTTTTATTCAAATTCAAATTGCAATTCTACATCCTGTTTTCTAATTCTATCTCAATTTAAATTTGATTAAATTATAAGAATTTATAAGGCAATCTAAATTTAATTCTGAATGGTGAACAATCCTTGACTTTAATTCCCGAACCTAAATGTTGGACGGACGTTACAAAGGACAGGTGACGTGATCTTGAGGCCTTGCAAGGAAATGGAGTGCTGCTAATCTTACTAATTGGATATTTTAATTAAATAGCTAAAATTACTCAGATGACAGGTATTGTTAACATATCTAATTAAAATGTCAATTTGCAAGAGATTGAGCCAACACATGGGGTCAGCAGTTAGCTATGAGAGCAAGAGAGAGAGATAAAAAAAAAGAGAGAGGGGAATGGGGGCATAGGATATAGAAGGAAGGAATGTCTCTTTAAATTACCCTTTGCTACCAAGCATGGAGAGAGGAAAATACCATATCTTTCTCTCTCTCTCTCTCTGTCTCTAGATCGCCCTTCTCTCCCCTCCCTACAGACGTCCGGCATGTGACGCTTTGGCCCAGCTACACCAACTCACTGATCCGGGAGGCAGAAGACGTGTGGCTTGAAATCCAAGGACACTCTTTGCAATCCCACCTTGTTTTGAGACTTTCCATTTTTTAAAGGAGTATTTGCAGCATATGAAAGTGTGTCATTTTTGTCAACAAGGTAATGCCAGCTTGATTTTATCAAATCATTTGTTGAAGAAAGAACATTTTCTTTAATGTACGTCAAATGAAGATCTTCTAACTACAGAGCTCTGGTATCATCTATTGGACGTAGTCATTATTTTGGGACTTTCAGCGCTTATTTATTACCCATTCACCAGGTCATTTTATATGGCAACCCATACACAATACCCTGTTTGCACCACCAGGTAAGGATCAGCAACCAATCAATCATCCTAAGACTATCCACAACAACCAGCATCCCATCACGTGTTGATTTCTCATCAATTAGACACTTTTTCATCCTTCTGAAAGCATTTCAGTCTCTGTATTCCCGTGGGTTGGTTTATTTGTGGATTTTAAGGTCTCTTTGGGTCCCAGAGCAGGTGTGAGTGCTACAGGAGCACATTTGCCCTCCATTCAGCTTTTCTGGTGCGGAAGTATGATAAAGAACAATAAGAAACTAAATTCCCAAGATGGCTCAACAAATGCTATCACAAGTAACAATGTCAACAAACAGGCCAATAGCCTGGCTCTCTTCTGCCAACCAAATGCCCCAAATAGGTAAGTGGAGACTTGTTTTAAAACCAACCTATTATACTGATTTTAGATTAGTTGTGATTTACTTCATGGTAGGAGCTGATCCAGATTCAGCGTTTAAGCGTTACTTGTATCTGAAAATGTGTGGCTTGAAACGTTGGCTCTGAAACAAAGACAGACAAGAAATGTTATTTGTGTCCCCTCGTATGCTGTTTAATTCGCTAACCTGTCTGGATGTGAGATTTGTTGCGTTTTGTGTCCTGCTCATGTGCCTGTTTTTGGTTGTCTTGTCCTAAACCTTATGTTGACGATGAATCAATTGACTTTCCAGAAGTACAAGGTAGAAGAACAACTTTTCAAATGGGTTTCAGTGATTATTTCCCTACACTGCAAAAATATTACTTCTAAAAATCTTTAAAACAAGATAAATGTATTCAAAATATTATTGAGGCTTGTTTTCAGAGAATGTATATTTAACATGATTTTCACTTGCTTTTGTAAGTATAAAAAGTTACAATAGTGCAATAGGACAAAATGTACTCCTGTTCAAGATACAGTCTATGAAAACAAGTCTTAATGTTTTATGGTGTTGCTCAGTTACATGTAACTTGTTTTAATGATTTTTACATATTTTAACTGAAAAACAAGGCCAAATTTTCTGCTGTGTAGTTCTATGAAATGAATTAGCATTAATTTGAATATGATTTGCAAAGTCTTTAAAAATATTTTTTGGCAATGTCACATCAAATCAAATTTGCTGGTGAAGGCATCTGTAATCTAGTCATGTCTGGTTTCATTCCTTTCGTGTGAGTCAGTATCCCCTGATAGCAATAGTCTAATTATATAATCCATGTTGTATTTATTTATAATGGTCCTTAGACCAACTAGCATGAAAAACAAGAAGCTCAAGGGGTTGGTTTTCGGCTGCCTGCAGGGACCAGCACCTGTTGTGTCTGCAGTTTATTATGCAAAGGAATGTCATTATCATGTATAAAATTATATCCCAACATGAGGTTAGACAAGCCTGTAATATAATACCAAAGTCAGCCTGGTAATTGTTTGAATATATCTGAAATACAGTGTAGAATCTGTTACCTTAAGGATGATGAGAAAGATAAGAGTTTTTTTTAAATAAATTAATATTTTGCCATGAAATTGGAAACATATTTAAGAAACCCCCCCCCCCCC